TGGGACACTCTTAAGGGACACTCTTGTGAGACACTCTTGCGGGACACTGTTGCGGGACACTCTTGTGGGACACTCCTGTGGGGCTCATTTGGGACACTCTTGCGGGACACTCTTGTGGGACACTCTTGTGGGACACTCTTAAGGGACACTCTTGTGAGACACTCTTGCGGGACACTGTTGCGGGACACTCTTGTGGGACACTCTTGTGGGATACTCTAGTAGGAAACTCTTGTGGGACACTCTTGTAGGACACTCTTGTGGGATACTCCTGTAGGACACTCTTGTGGGACACTCTTGTGGGACACTCTTGTAGGAAACTCTTGTGGGATACTCTTGTAGGACACTCTTGTGGGACACTCTTGTAGGACACTCTTGTGGGACACTCCTGTAGGGCACACTCTTCGTACGAGACTTCCTCCAAAAGTCACGCTGCGAGGCTGCAAGACGAGCGTTTCGTACGAGACTTCCTCCAAAAGTCACGCGTCAAGTCTCAAAAACGAGCGTTTCGTTCGAGACTTCCTCCAAAATTCACAGGTCAAGTCTCCAAAACGAGCGTTTCGTACGAGACTTCCTCCAAAAGTCACACGTCAAGTCCCCAAAACGAGCGTTTCGTACGAGACTTCCTCAAAAACTCACATGTCAAAGTCTGCAAAACGAACGTTTCGCACGAGACTTCCTCCAAAAGTCCAGCGGAAACACCCATCGGAGCACACACATCACGCAGCCCTGCCAAGCAGTTTCGCGATTCCAGCCCCTCCAAACGACACCCGCTCACACGCCAATCCCAATGTGACAGCGACATTCACCTCTACCACAACTCACAACCTCCCGATTCCCTGCGCCTGCCACGAATCTTTCCGCGTCCACACGTCTAACGCGCACAAAGTACTGCGCCTGCCACGAAATGTCACCTCCGTCACACATCGCAACCTCACGATTCCCTGCGCCTGCCACGAAAATCCCACTTCCACACCTCAAAGCCCGCACAAAGTCCTGCGCCTGCCACGAAAAGTAACAATGTCATCTCATGTGAGCTTCAACAAAATTTGCACCACACCACACGTTTGGAATGATTTCGACCCGTTCTGAGCACACTCCCATCCACCAAAATCGGCATTTCAGCTGAGACTTGTCACGAAAACAGAGCTTCGATGCCACACCCTGAAACGCAAACCCCAATGGCACGGCCACATCCAACACCCCAAAAACACGACTCTCCAAACGCTAATCCCAATGGAACTGCGCAGCAATCTGCAGATCTCACCAAACGCTGCGCCTGTGCAGCCGAAACGCATCACGTTGCTTGCGCGACATGTCTTTTTCATGCAAATCACAATGGAATAGCGGCGCAAACTGACACGTGACACATCCATGAATAGTCACTTGCAAAAGCTTCCCCCAATGGCAGCGCCTTAGCGCTCTACCGCGAACGGTTGCGGACGGTTGCGGACGGTTGCGGACGGTTGCGGACGTAGAAACAACGGATCGCGAACAAGGCTTTACCCCCAGACCCCCAAGAGTTAAACGAGAACCCTTCGCTGCGCATTCGGGAAAAAATCTCTACAATAATCTCTACATATAACTTTAGATGTAAGTCAAAGCCACTGCATGGCAAAACCTCTATCCTACCGCTGACAACGCGCGGAAGCTCAAACGTATTCTCCAAATTGTTTCAATTCAAACAAAGTACATCAACGCGTTCTCGCGCTCTTTTTCGATGCGCAGTCGTGCGCGACGTCGGCTGCGCGGCACTGTGCCACAGACGGTTGTACGGGGGACATCACCACCACATACCCTGCACATGCCTCTCCTGCTCATGCCGGGGACTCCACCACCTGGCACAAACGCTCAAAAACCTTCTCACGCCACCGTGGTCGGGCCGTGCACCGCGTAGTACGGATGCCCCTGATCATCTCGTGGAGCCGGCACTCGTAGCGGTGCGTAGAGTCGCCACTGGTCTGCGTCCACGGGATACAAGTGTCCCGACTGCAGCATCCGCAGCAGTCCCACGTGCGTCACGGAAATCGGGCGCAAAATGACATCCCGGCCAGTCATCCCATCATGCCCATCCAGCGCGCTCTGCACCGCGGCCTCCGCGCGGGTCTTCAGTGGAAAATACCACTGTCCCTGCCGTCCTTGCGGACACTCCACCTGACCCATCCGCTCCAGGTGCAAGTCTTGGTCTCTGTTCAGACCCACCCACAACTTCAAGGCAACACCTCCGTGCCCCACGCATTCGCCTCCTGGCACCTCCGGGTGCACCTGCCCGGCGGGGACTACACCACCTGCCGCCACATATCCAGCGGACATGGCCCGGTCTGTCGATCGCTCGCGCTCTCGGCGCAGACTTTCTCACAAGCCAAAATGCTCTGCGGTATTCGGTTTGCTGGCACACTTTCTCACAACCCACAATGCTCTGTGGTCTTCCAAGTGCTTGCACACACCATAATACCGTCTTTTGCTCTCTTTTGACTTCCACGACACTGAGGTCCCCGCCACAGCAGGGATGCGGGCACCGTCTCTCCCAAAATGGCTGCAGTCGAACGTGTGAGAAACTATGTGGGTTTCCCGAACACACACACAAGCATTTCATACAAGACTTCTCGTCCAAAGGTCGCGCCGATCTGGGACACTCTTGTAGGACACTCTTGCGGGACACTCCTCCTCCTTCGTACGAAACGCTGCGAGGCTGCAAGACGAGCGTTTCGTACGAGACTTCCTCCAAAAGTC